CTCACAAGCACTACAATTCTATTGCTATGATTAAATAAAAAGAAACATTCATGATACATTAAAAGGCCAACAAAAGTAATCATGAAGATAATGACATCAAATATACATTGGAAACTCAAAGGATCTAGATTGCAAACAAAACCGCTCTTTAATTTTTCTCTTGATCAAATTCATTAAAATTTATCAACCTTTTCTTAAAAGGAAAAGGATTTTTGCTGCTTTCTCCTAAATGAATACAGTATTTGTTCTATCTTTACATCTATTTTTCTTAACTACAATTCAGCCTCTAATTTCTTAAATTTGCTGAAGACATGGAAAGACTTTCAGTGGTCTATTAGTTACTCAAATTCTCAAAATATGCTATAAATCTACAGTAATCACAACATATTTACAGTTTTATTTTGTATAGACACCACAGTTTAAGAAATGGTGTTTTAATGTTATCATACAGGGTTGGAAAAACTAAGACGAGGAGGAGTAAAGAGGGTACGGAGAGAAGGTTGTTATTCCTGTTCTAGTGACTCACAGCCCACAAGTATTTCCGAAGAAAATTGGTTGGTTCCACCCTCACTTCCCCCTCCTCTCCACCTTCAAAAAATGAAATAATCCCAAATCGTCAACACTCTCTCAAATGGTTTTTATTTAGCAATCTCGAATGAACTGGCAGAGTGAAGGGAATGCAGGGTTCATGTTGATTAGCCATCCCTTCCCACATTACCACACACGAAAAAATTGAGAAGTGGGGAGTAATCCCCGTTCACTGCTACCATCCCCGCCAGATTTCTACTGTTCAGTCTCACTTTTGGAACACCCAAGTTTTCCTGTTGCCCTAGAATCTAGCCCATTCATCTCCCTGCCTTTCCTGATGACCCCGTCCCGGGGTCGGGGGCGCGAAGAAGGGGGCAGTGGCGCCCCCACCCCATGCCGGGGCCGGCGCCAGCGCTGAATCCTGCTGCTGGAAACCGGGAAATGGCTTCTCTCCGCCTCCGGCCGGCCCGCGAGCCACCGGGAGAGGCTCCCGGTACTCCGCATTAGGCCGCGGCGCATCCCGGCGACTAGGGGCCGGGCCTGACGCGGCGATGCTGTGATTTCTGCCCTCAGCGCCGCCCCGCACCCTCCGGGCCTCCCCTACCCTCCATCCCTCCTTGGCCCCCCGCCCGCCGCGACCTCGCCGGCCCGTGCGCACCTTCTTGATGTTGTAGAGGCGGGTGAGCATGCCGACGCCCCGGTCGTTGAGGATGGTGAGCTTCTCCGCCAGCTTCTGCTGACTGGGCTGCAGCACGGAGCGCGACATGGTGGTGGTAGTGGTGGTGGTGCCGCCGCTGCCGGCCTCCTGGCGCCCAGTCACTGGCCTGCGGCCTCCACAGCAACCTCTCTCTGGCCTCCTCCCCTCCCGCCCGCGACCTCCGCCTCAGGAAAGCACATCCATGGCCCTCGCGCCCCAATCCCGCGCCGGTGACAGAATGAGCCGCGGCGGGGACGCCTCGGGGCCCCTTCCCCCGCTGTCTCCTGGCTTCCGCCCGCCGCCCTTCCGTCCCCACCCCCGTCGCTTTCTTTCCCAGCCCCCACGGAGCCGCCTTCCCCCGGCTCCTCCACTAGGTGTGGCGGCAGCAGCGGCGTCTCCGGCGGCTGAGAACGAGGCGGCTTCCCGCAGCCCCGGACTAGCGCTCGGTCACCTGATCGGCCGCGCCGGCGCCCCCGCGAGGCCGGACGGGGAACTGCGTCAGGCAGGCCTTCGACTATCTCCCCGCCACTCCCCGCACACCCCACTCGGGCTTCCCTGTCGCCGCCACTCTGGACCCGGCCCCAGTCCCGACCTGGCCCCGACCCCCTGCCTGCGCCTATTCCCGAAATGTGAGTCCTAAGTGGGGACCGAGTGGGGTTACGTTTCTCTGTACGTCCCGCCTTGTCCGACATCCCTCGCCTTCAAGTTCCTAAGGTGGCAACACAAGTTGTCTTTCTGCGCCACTTTCCTAAAGAAGCGGGCGGGGGGGGGGGGGTTCAGGCGAGTTTCTCCTGAGAGTAGGCTGGTGGCTCCAAGCGCCTTTCCTCCCACTGCTTGGCAGACGCTTGCCGCAGAACACAGCAGATGTTGTGCTCCGCGAGGCGGCTTCGGCTCTCCGAACCTCCCTAATCCATCCTAACTCACCCCCACCCCCACCCC